CCGCCCCAAACGTCCATCCTCCATATTATTATGATCTCGTCCCAGGCCAATCTCCACCTGACAGTCTCATCCGCCTTTTTTCCTCCTATTTTCAAGAGAACGTGTGAAACCTTGAAAAAAATGTACCTGGCTAAAAGTATCAGAAACCTTATTGGGTGATATGATGACAGCACTTTCTGGGGTCACCATTTTATTTTATTTTATTTTTTTATTATTTTTTTTTTTGAGTGTTGTTGTTTTTCTTTTTTAGACATACCAGTATACAAAAAGATCGCACAAACTTCTTCATGAACCAATCTTTTTTATGTCTGTCTGTACCTCTCGCCAGTTCTAAAAGACTGATGGTGTGGGACGAAACAATTCCTCTCATTTAGAGGGCTGGCTGCTTCATTTACAAATATCTTTACGGACTGAATAGGACATACCATTCAGATATAAAGGTATAAATATTCGGTCAAATTCATAATATTATCCCCAAACACGAATCTGGCTCTCGTCTTTTTTGTGCACAAAGACGAAGCACCTAACCACTACACCACAAACACAAGTAAGTCAGCCATCGTGCCCACGCACTGTTCCCCTTTCAATTAAGAAAACAAATAAAAAGGGTTGAAGGCTCCCATATCACGCACTACGATTCAAAGACTGGGGGCGGCAGGTGACTCAAGAGGGTTGGAGAGAGACAGCAGGGTGTCACAACCAAATGAATACCCAACCAGCTGATGACTGCATGGCACGATCAGCAAGCCAAACTTTTCGTAGATCCTGGAGAGGAGGGAAAAGCAGCTATGGCCTTGTGTCGCCTTCGATAATACCTATTCTCCAACCAAGTAACTAAGTAAGTGAACAAAAAAAATACCTTAGCTCTCCTACTGGGGGTGCTGCATAAGGTATCCCTCGAAAGACTTGGGCTGTATCAGTCTGAATTCCACGGACTGCACCCCAATGTGTTTCCACGACAACGGACGACACTCCCATTGTTACCATGGCGACTGTCAACAAGCAGCTTAAGAAATGCTTGGACTCCATTTTATCCTGAGGATTCGTTATTCAGTGAGAAGGAAGGAATGGATGTAAAAAAAAAGAAGAAAAGAAGGAGGCAATGAAAGTATTGGGTGAACGAAGAAGATCAAGGAGAAAGAGGCAGTAAATCAGAAAAAGAGTGTGTGAGTGAGAACGTGAATATGTAGTGAGAGAGGTATACAGGAATGGGGTGTGGGGGGGGGGGGGTAAAGGAGACGCACATCAACACAACAGACATTAAGCTCTGTATTAAAATATACTCTCTAAACTTTACATGGCGGTTCTGCAGGCCAGCAACCAAACAAAAATACTTTTTCAAAAAATCTTGATTCAGTAATAAAGAAAATGTTCTATTTACACCCTATATTAAAAACCACTCTTCAGTTGCATACACAGGATCACTAGAATAATTAATTATTTACAGAAACCTAATCTACTCATTTTGGGCAGTAACACCGTAGGCTGTACTATCTTTGGCAACACCACCCTGCCCCCACGCTTCAATGTAAGCTATTAACTCTTATGCAATTTTCATTTGTATTTGCAAATGTTGTACACTTCCAGCGACATAATTTAGGTTGCTCAGGAATCAGGCTCTTTCAACTCGTGCCTGTCACTGTCAGGACCCACCTGGTCGGAGTGAGATACGACATCCCAGGAGAAAGATGGAGATAGACAACTCTTCACAATAAATCTAAGGCTAACAAAATCAGTAGGGATAGAACATTAAATAAGCTTTCACGGAATTGAGTTCAATGAGATATGTCACAATCAGTAACTTACAGAGTTACGAGGATACATTTACTACGAGCACTTTGCATTATAATATGGTATCTCTGTAACAGTACCTGTATGCAAGTTTATTTTGAAATAAACAGCAACTAAAGCACATCGAGAACAGGGAACAAAATCAAATCATTATCAGTTCAGCGAGAATCAAATCAAAAATATCTTTGAACTGATCAAGATTCCAATTTTGAAATTGGGTGTACCCTTCTAAAGTAACAGGTCCAAAGAAAATATTGTTCCGGTGTACAGATTCCATGTCATGTTTATGGAGCCATGTGAATACAGAAAAACTCAAGATATAACGAATTCCCCATTTAATATATTAAAATCAACAAAACACGGATTCAACACACACGTCCACACATACACACACACACACACACACACACACACATAAGAAAGTGAATTCGGATTCAACGAAGTCGCTTGCATTGTGTACAATCGCCGCTAATCTGGCTTCGTGCATTTTTCTCCCGCAGCGAACTTTATCTACTTTATTCCAAGAGACCATTGATGGCACCTGCTCCGTGGATCATTTCACGACCAGCCTATTGCGCACACCCTATGCAATGACTCAGAATCCTTATCTACTCTTAGTAGGTAATGCTCAGAAGCCTGAATTCACACGAACACAAGCGTTGCTGACACGATGACTTGTCTTAACGTGTGCCGGGGCCGAGAGAGGTCGGACGGGCGGCCAGCATACGCATGACTATTGTTAGTGCATGTATCTGGGGGGGGGGGGGGATTGGGAGGGGTTGTAGGCACAAGCGTCACAGTTGCATCCCCCCCCCCCCCCCCCCACACACACACACACACAAACACACTCTCTTCTTTTCCCTGGCTGGTGGGAAAATGAAATACTAATTTAGACACAGATTACGATCTATGTAATGAATTGCGAGCAGGTCTTGTGGAAATAAATTATGTTGCCTTATGGTTGGCCCTACAGTGCAGCACAACTTGTTGTTCACGTTGCTGTAAACGAAAACTTGGATTCGACGAAACTAAAGGTCAAGCCTGACGACTGCATAATATCCAAATTTCACTCATTAGTGAAATGCCATCCACTAATGAGTTGCGAAGGAACTTCAAGTTCCAAAACTCGTTTCCCTGCTAACGTTCAAGATTCTGCCTGTGTAGAATCTATCGACATCACAAATAACAATTGACTGCATAGTAAATGTACCTCTCTCTACTGCAATATTGGTCAGCAGATTCACGTAACCAGAAAGCTGTTGACCGTGTGAACTTTTGATTCCTGAAGCAAAAATACTTGGCCGGATTTTGTTTTCGTGGTGACTTTCAAGATGGTCCACAAGTGGTGAGAATTTCTCTTCACTATCAACTGAGGCCGTTGAAAAGGGATTGATAGCAACAGCTATAATTTTTAAGTCAGCTAAAGCCAAGTTAAAATAACGAAGTGACCTTGTCTCAGGTATGGTCTTGGAGATTTTTTCAGTCTAGATGTGAATGCGCTCTTTACGAACCACAGCGCTATCATCTGCAGTTACGTAAAGAACATTCACCTTTAGACAAGCAACTTATGCAACATTGGCAAAGTCTTCAGTTTTATGGACAGTTTTTATTTTTAAGAACCTGTCTCCATACATTCTGTTTCGCTGCTCCACTAATACCATTAATTGGGCCTTTGCTGTGAGAGGTGGAAAAATAAACTTTAATCAAACTGTTGGAAGTTTCGATGCATGAGGTTTAAGCATGTGAAAGCATGTAACTACGGACAGCATGTATCAGTTCTTGAACTGACCTCCACACATTCATCAAAAAATATGTGAAGTTTATCACTGTCAGTTTTCTTTTTTTTCTGACATCATAGCCCTGCAATATTTCATTTGGGACTTTGGTGCCCCCCCCCACCTAAAAATACACATTTATAAACTCTTTTCAGTTTAATACTGGAGTTTCCAAACAATATAAATGAAGCGTTACGACTATCATTTTCGTGGGTAAAATTTAAATTGTTGCAGAAAGAGCACTCATATGGCTTGGCCTGATTCGAGCCACTTACTATTCCTTGGTGATATGCATTATAATTTGAAGAGATTGTACCATATTCATTGTTGTTTAAAGACAGCGCTAGATCTACTCCATAAATTACGCCAGTAACTGTAAATTTGAATAAAATTTGTACATTACTTTACTTTACCAATAACAAGCTTGGGATCTTTTATTAAAGTTTATTTAAGGTAATGATACATTGTGTGCCCACTTAGTCACACGTCCGATCAGTTTCTATGTTGTCCCGTCAGTTAAACAATTTAAACGGATTCTGGAGAGTCAAAAAATAAAACTAGGGTACCCATATGAACAAGACCATAGTCAAACCAGAGATTATGAAGTTCCCTGTTAAAGAATCAAACAATAAAACAGCTACAATATACATGTATTTTGAACCATGGCAACTGACGAGACAGTAAAATGACCATATTTAAAGTGCCTGTCATTAGATTAAGAATGTAATTCAAACCAATTAAATAATCCATGGTACTGTTTCTGTACCTTGATTAAATTAATAAATCAGTTATATTTACCTGAACTGTCACACATGTAAAGCATTGGCTTTCTTACAGGGTCACGGTTGCCTCTTTTCTGTAGCGTAACAAATGGACATATTCAAAGATGGCTGCCAATTCACGTGATCAAGCAAAAAGGGATAACTGGCAAAGGAAAAGTTTTTTTTCATCTAATATGTTTTTAACACAGATCTACATTAACAATAGATCTTATACGGGGTGCCCACTACGGACGGGATCGGCCGATCGCCTCAAAAACAAACGGGTTTATTTTCAATTTCAGTCGATCGAGTCGGGCGATCGGCCCGATCCAACTGTAGTGGGCACTCCGTACAAGTTTGGTTCGACAAATTTCAGAAAATTGTCTGGGGGTAACATTTTACGTGTAGTAGCCCGCCCACGACTGTCAAAACGTTTCCACGTGAGTCTCAAAAAGTACTCACCCCGTCTGTTTGGCTGCTGAGGCGTTTGCGTGTGATGTTGAGGGAAAATAACAGGTCGACATTTTAAGTTTTTTTGTGTGTGTATGCTGTAAATCCCCTATTACACCGTTTATCAGAACTATAAAAAGAATGTACAACAAAGTGTACAGTTTCGTAAGAATGTATCCTTGTGTGTTCCAGGCTCTACGAAAGACATTGAATGAGTAACCGTAATGAATAGAGATGTAAACTAGGCCTGAGTGCCTTTCGTGTTACCTGTGACATTTCTTAGTTGTTCTTGACTGTTGAAAAAAGAGTCCTTGTAGTTTTAGGACACAGACGGGTAAACACGGGGAGTTTCGGTAAATTGTTGTACCTTTCTGCAATGGTTCTTTATAACTATATTTATCGTTCACAGTATCTTTCTAATCTTACTCTTTGGTGAAATGAATTCTGAGTCCTCTAACTATGAAAAGTTCTCCCTTTCCAGCACCTCTGTCAAAAGAGGACTGCGGGGCCAAGTTCGCTTCGTCTAAACAACAAATTTCTTTATTTACTAGACACACATCAATTGATTTTTCTTTCTGATCATTGTGTTCAATGCTAGGTGTCCCGAACTCACACACAACTGTGCCTTGTTTTTTTTGTTTTTTTTCGGTTTCTGCGACATACCGGACTTTGCACCAAGTGCTCGTGACCAAGTTTTCCTTTGACGCGAATAACAACGTGATAACGAAGACCAAATCATCAAACTATCTGAGATGATCGAAAGAAAGTGAAACAGCTACATCAAGAAGTGGCTGGGGCTACCCCGTACCATTAACACGTCATCCCTGTACAGACATAGAGGTGCGCTTCAACTAACTCTCACGTCAATCATGGAGATCTACAAAGCAGGCAAGATTAGAACCGTTTTGATGTTGAGAGAATCAAGGGATAAGGAGATCAGTGGAAAACCTCCAGGTGTCAAAACAGCCAGAAAGTGGAAGGCAGAAGTTGCAGCTGACGAGATCATCTCTGCATTGGAGCATGGCGACATTGTCGGTCCAGCACAACCTGGCAGATTAGGGCTAGGTAATGGCGACTTTAGACCTTTCAGGAAAATGTCTCAGCGAGACAGAAGAAAAGCTGCAACAAGACATGTGCAAAAGATGGAGGTAGAGAGGCGAGAAATTCATCTCATAGAGTGTAGCCAGCAAGGACAAATGACCAGATGGGAAGAGCATGTAGTCGAAAGAAAAGTCGGGTGGACTGACATCTGGAAGTGAAAAACATCCAGGCTAAGCTTTCTTCTCCGGTCTACGTATGATGTCTGCCTTCATCGGTGAACCTTGTCAGATAGAAGGTACAGGACGAGGACAACAAAAGTAGATGCGGTAAGCTAGGAACCATGAAGCATATTTTGTCAAACTGCAACCTGGCTCTTAACAGATACACCTGGAGGCACAATGAGGTGCTGAAAGTGCTCACCACAATGGCGACAAAACAGGTGGAAGAGGGAAAATATGCCCCCAAGATACTGAAGCATGGACTCACCAAGATTGCGTTCGTTCCGCAAGGAAGCAAGGTTACCAAAAAAAAGAAAGCGAACGAAGCCATGGAAGACCAGAGCGGAGGCACATGGGAGGTAGCCGCTGACTTAAAAGGCTTTGAGAGATTCTTCCCCATTCCAACTACGAAAAAACCAGACATTGTGTTATGGGAGGAAAAAGACAAAGAGGTGTACTTGGTAGAGCTCACGGTGCCCCACGAGGACAATATCTATGCTGCTCATGAGCGGAAAGAAAACAGTTACGATGCACTCGTCGAACAATGTGAGGAGGCAGGATGGAAAGCAACCCATTTTCCGGTAGAGGTAGGATGCCGAGGTTTTGTAGCAACAAGCGCCCGTAAGTGGATGAGAGTGGCAGGACTTACTGCAAAAAAAAGCAACGAACTCACAAACTCCCTTCAGGAGACAGCAGAGAAAGCCAGTCACTGGATCTGGTTGAAGCGAGAGGACGCAGGCTGGAATGAATCCTAAAGTTGGCAGCAGAGCGTCAGAAAAGCTGTAGAGAGGAAGAGCCCGAAACAGCGACGCATTTTCTCCTGATGATCTCCATGCTTGAGTCCGGGATACGGAGCGTTCAGCTGTGAGCAGTGCATACGACTGTTTAGACCACGTAGGGGCGGGGGGCTACACCTGAAGGCTATCTCGCTTATTATTACAGGACCAAATTTTACTAAATTTCGCACATATAACAAGCACAGTACGGAATCTTAAAATCTGCAATCAAATTTCAGGAAAAAAAATTGTGTTTCCATGGATACGGCGGCCATATTGGATTTCGTTGACATGTTTTACGTAATGAATACCGCACTTATTATTCATGGAAATCGATTTTTTTTTCGTGGAAGTTAGCAACCATTAGATCTAAAAATTTGTCTTGTTTTTCTCCTGAACAAGTTAGAAAATGTTTCATGATATATTTTTTTTTCCTGAGGTGGTATTCAAGTTTGCGAAAAATCCGTAAAAATCAACACTCCGGACACCACCAACAAAAATAATAATATTCCATATATCAAAAATTCAACAGACAAATTTTTAGTATTACATCTTGTTTTCATTCTGAGAATATTTCATGAAGATTGGATGAAAAATTGTGGAGTTATTCAATAAAGTAAGAGGAAAATCGCGTTTTGAGAAAACGGCCATTAAGGAAAAATAAAATATTGACTTTATGAAGAAATGGCGGTAACAAAAAAGCCAGGTATGGGGAGAAATAAGGCTTTTAGGGGTTCTTATACGATGAAATAGTTGTAGGAGAGACTGGGGAAGCAAAAAATGCCCACAACTCAAACTCCATAATTTTGAGCAGAAACGTGACTTTGGGGGTGTAGCCCCCCCCCCCCCCTTCCCCCCCTTCCCCTTAAAGCGGTCCTAATATCCACAATAAAAGCGATCCAGTTCAAACGTTTGTGTTTGGCTGGTGAACAAAACAATCACTCACCAGCAGAGATTAATTCCTGCACACTACACCGGTACAGACAGAAAAGCTCAGAGAAAAAAAACTATAACTAACTATAATAATCGACATACACAATAGACATCCGAACAAGAAGCTTGTTAACGTTATCCCCTTTACACAACAAACGCTGGCTCCTGTAACCAAAACACTTTCCCTAACTTGTCACAAATAAAAGTGTTGCTATAACTTATCACAGCAGTCAGCTATATATCTCTTACAACTTACACATCCACTTGTCTGCTCATCGACTAAAGCTACTTTATCCAAGACTGAATGTCTAGTGAAGCTCAAACTCAATGTGCTCTGGTTTGCATAGCTATAATTATTATTTATAACTCTTTATATCTGTAATGTCATGCTCTAAACGTGTAACTGGGAGAAATAGATCAACTTGTTTTTTTGTTCAGAAACCATTGCCCACGTCGATCTGCAAGATTAGTCTTCCAAAAAAACAAAAAACAAACAAACAAACAAACAAAAAGAAAAGGTTTTCGAAATATTCTAAACCATGTTGTAGTGTGAAAGTATTCTGGGATAATTAACTTTCACGAGTTGAAATTTTTTCGAGAAACAAAGGTACACGGCTGGACAAAAACACTGCAGATATGGCCGTTATCAAGTTCAGATGGCTTTGGTACATGTAATTAATGCTCAATACATAATGAATGGTGTGTTTGTCGGTGTAGATTAGCCTTTATCTCATCAGGTGTGATAGTCTAGCTCTCATCTTATCAGGGGAAACTATTGCATGTTGACAGGTTCGAAATTTGGTATCTTTGACGGAGATGTAGATATATGACCGATGGAGATACTCGATTTAGAATAGTAATAATAATAATGATAATACTAATAATAATGAAGATGATGATGAATTTTTTCTTCTTTTTTTTTTCTTTAAGTGTTTTACGGCGTTGGCAACTGCATAAGGTCATATGAGCGCGCGGGACACATTAAACATTTTCAGTTTGGTAGAACTTAATTTTAAATTTTGCCCAACAGGTGACGGCCGTAGCCTACTCTTATCGATGTTGGACCACCAAAGGATCTTTAGCGAGCACAACTTGCACACGGGACCTTCGAGACTATTCGCCACCCGAGAAGGCCAGGTGTCAGATCTTACCAACCATAAGACCAGGGGTGTGGCTGAAAGTAGTGAAAGACAGCAGTAAGAAGGAGCCAAGGAGTAGCAGTAGAAAGGCTGCAGAAAGGGTCTGGAGGCCAGAGGAAAGGGCAAAGGAGGTGAGGGGGTGGGGGCAGAAAGTGGAGACTGAAGCAGATGACAGAACATTGTTAGACAGTTGGAGAGCAGGAAAGAAGGTGAAAGGGAAAATTTTTAAAAAGAATTTTTCTGTTGCTGTCCGGATTCGAACCCGGGACCTATTGAATGAGAGGCAAACACCGTAACCTCTCGACTACGATGAGATCTCCTGATGATGATGACGATGATGATGATGATGATGATGATGATGATGATGATGATAGAATCGATCACACGTATCCTCTCCGTGCAACAGCGAAGAACCTATTCGTTATACCACAGTCGCTGGTAGCACTTGTTACTTACAACTACTCGCAAAACTCAAGCCAACAGTAGACAGTAACAACATCAACAACAAAACCACTTTGGCCGCCACCCGGGCAAAATTCAAAATTACCTATTAACTGGAAATGTTTAATGTGTCCCGCGCTCATATATGGCCTTATGCAGTTGCGAGCGCCGTAAAGCACATAAAAAAAGAGTGGATGGTTGGCTGGCGCTCCAGGGCAGTTTGCTCCTTCTTTCCTATAAAACATCTATCGTCCTTGTCTCCCCCTCCTTCTTTTTTGTGTTTGTAACTCTCTTGTAACACCCCTCATCTTCGGCATTTATATGACTTTTAAATTATGTTGCAAGTGCGGTAAAACTCACTAAAACGAAAAAAAAACAACCCTTCAGAAGCAGTAAGACCAGAAGTCAGAAGGGATGTTGAAGACATGGTCACCAGCTGTCATTTGTCACCTACCATCTGTCACTTGTCATGTGTTATACATCACCTGTTACATGTCATCTGTCACCTGCCATCCGTCACCTGCCACTTGTCATCTGTTATATATATACCATCTGTTATGTCATCTGTCACCTGTCACGAGTCATTGGTTATAATATATGCCATCCATCACCTGCCACATTTGTCATGTTATATACCATCTGTTACATGTCATCTGCCACCTGTCACTTGTGGGTTGTTATATATATTATCTGTTGTGTTACATGCCATCTGTCACCTGTCAACTGTCGCATGTCACCTGTCACTATGACAATGTCCGTCTGTCGGTGCCACACTCCTTGTCACAACAGGCCTCCATCTTACCTGGCCTCAACTTTGTTGATGCATCATTTCATAAAGTTGTAGACCACTTTTGTATTTTACGTTTTCAAAAAATGTAAGGGGGGGGGGGGTCTTCCATCATTTTTCTTAGCTAGAGGTGGGCAAAATCCGGATAAATATCCGGAAAATCGGATAATCCTCAATAAGTACATTATCCGAATTCAGACTCTTAGCTCTCTTTCCTGACCTGTTTGCCGAAGTGAGTACACCCATTCGTTGAAGTGATGCTAACCCGTTTGTCAACGTGGTTCTAACCCGTTTGCCGAATCGGTTCATAACATATTATTTACCGAAGAGGTGCACTAACATATTATCCGGATTTTGTTAAAGCGACTCATTGCCCAGCTCTACCCTTTGCCTCTATTTTTGCCCATCAATACAGAAGTCATCGCCGGCGTCTGGGACTGGGGTGAAGAAACGGTTAGGCGTCTCTCTGCCCCATACAGGAGACCCGAGTTCGATTCCCAAGTGGGGGGGAGGGTGGGGGGGATTTGTACCGCGTATCTTGGTCGTTTTGTGAAATGTGGAATCGCCCACGGTCCGGTTGGTCCTGATCTGAATCGTGTCGATGGAGGCGTAAAAACACATACACTTTCTGTTAGTACGTCAAGATCCACTGTCTCAGACCCTCGCTGAACTTTACGTCACACACACAGACAGAGTACGCATACGTGTATGATATGATTTTAGTTTAGTTTTAGTAAGGTTCTACGGCGCTAGCACCTGCATAAGGTTCTAATATGAGCGCCAAGGGGTGTTGTTGTTTTTTTAATAGTAGAGGTTTTACGACGCTCGCAACTGCATAAGGTCATATGAGCGCCAAGGGGTGGATGTCAACAGAGAAGTCTTTACAGGGAATCAGGCTTACTCTGCGCACCTCTCTAGTTTCAACAGCACGACGTCTGTTTCGACTTTCAAAGGCACCCAGCCGGTCACAAGAGTGTGACAAACATACAAAAGAAATATAGGGAAAAGACGATAGTAAGAATTAGGAAAGAAAAAGCAGCAGTTCCCTGTTGTAGTTCAGACACAGTTATGAGCGTGACATTGTTGAATCAGCCCATTTACAATTCTACTGTGCGTAAGAACGAGAAATGTCCCCCCTTTGGGAATGGCCTAAAGACACTTCAGTCAGTGGCACCGCCTCTGGGAGTGCCAAGAGGTGGATGTCAACAAAGAAGTCCGAACGGGGAATCAGGCTTACTCTGCTCACCTCTCTGGCCTCAACAGCACAAAGTCTACTTCGACTATCAAGGCCCCCTGAAAATAGCAGTTCAAAAGAGAGAGACAAAAATACAAAAGAAGTAAAGGAAAAACTACGATAGTAAGGATAAGGGTACAAACACAGTTCCCCCTAAGTTGTTCTGGCACAGTATGAACATGATATTGATAAATCAGCCTATTTATAATTTTACTGTCCACAAGAACATGTTAATAATATCCCCCCTTTGGGAATAGCTTCAGTTAGTAGCACTGCTCTGGTAGGGGATAAGTGTATGATGCTCTATCGATAAGCGCAGACTACTAAAAACAAAAGTGGCTCGATATTTGATGATGTCATTGGGAAGTATCCAGTCCATTTATGGTAGTAAGCATCTTACGCCACTTGCAATACAATAAGTTCATATAAACGCCGAAGAATAAAGAGTTTTACAGGAGAATAACAAACACAAAAAGTAAAAGCGGAGGAGAGATGAGGACAATAGATGTTTGACAGGAAAGAAGAAGCAATCTCTGGGCTCCTGACTCTTTCTGCAGCCTTTCTACTGCTACTCCATGGCTCCTTCTTACTGCTGTCTTTCAGCAACAATCCTGATTTTAAGGTACAAAAGATCTAACACCTAGCCTTCTCAGATAAGCCCAAAAATCTCGGAAGTCCTGTGCGCAAGTTGTGAACGTTAAATCCCTTGGTGGTCCAAAATCGAAAAGAGTAGTCTTCCTCCATCATCCAGGCAAAATTCAAAACCAATTCCTAACAAACTAAAAATATCTAATTATTCTAATGTATCCCGAGTGCTCATATGACCTTATGCAGTTGCGAGTGCCGTAAAACACTTACCAAAACAAAAGCGAAGAAGCAAACAGCACCAGAGCACCCGTCAACCACCCACCAAAGTCACCCTCTTGAACAAAGACCAGCATTGTCTAGGGCACAATGACAGGGATAAATGTAAATTCTGGAAACACCCCCATGAAAAGAAGAGGGACACAACAACAGAAGCAACATTTAGTGTATACTTTCAAAAGTACAAAAACACAAATTTTCATCATTCCTTCTGAATGTATTGTGATATAATATGTAAACTACAAACGTACCTCAATACAAGCATGTAATGATTTCAGAAATCTGGATAAAGAAAGTACTTGTACACATGCACACTCTTTGGCAGGATTTGGCTTGGGATAAAATAACATCAATAAATCTGACAGCAAGCCCAGAGAAAAGGGCTGTTTGTGTGTGTGGGGGGGGGGGGTGAGGGAGTGGAGACATTAGGCAATTACCTGACCAAGAGGAGGGGGCAGCGGTGAGAAGTACAGATAAAACAAGGAGAAGCTATATGACGCAAAGTATGGTAAGAGAACAACAGAAAATCTAAGAAGAGCAAGAAGAGAGAAAAACTGAGAAACTGCATAGAGCAGGGAAAGCGAAAAACAAAAAAGCTAAGAAAAGCAATAAGAGAAAAATACAGAGAAGGTTAAAAAAAAAAAAAGAGAGAAGCTCCAGAGAGTGGAGAGAGAGAAAAAACGGAGAACCTATGTAGAGTAGGGAAAGAGAACAACAAAGAAGCTAAGAAAATCAAAAACAGAGAAAAACAGAGGAACTATCTCCCACTAAACATGTAGTACTTGCAGAACTTGCAGAACTTCATTGTGGAAAAGGAAGGCAAACAGTCGTGACTAATATAGACACTTCACCATCCTGACTCAATACTGAAATAGTCTGGTTTCAAAATCTCTCTTGCATCACTTGTAAATATTACAAATCTAACAACAAAGGCTTTCAACAATAGCAGAAAAAATTCATGTTGAGTATTTCAATAACTTTCTAAAATATGTAGGCTACTGATTGAATGTATTTCTTAGCCTATACAAAACCTTTATGGTCATGAAAGTACCGTAAAAACAATTGCAGAAAGCATTCAACATGCATAAAACAAAAAACATTGAACGCATTTACACTTCAGCAAAATATCACATGCAAAAACTAAACTTATAGTAAAGTTGTTCCCGCATCCGATCCGGACATTGGGGATTGCCTTGTTAGTGAGACAACTTCCTGAGCCTTCGGCATATTGTGGTAGGGTGGCTAGTTCCTTTCCACACCGCCTTTACTTCCTCAACTCGAAGTCAGGCATCCACTATTGCTGGGTGGGCAGGAGGGGGAAAAAAAATCCGGCATCCGAACCGAGACTCGAACTAGGACTTTCCGCTTCAGAGACGAGCATACTAACCGCTCCGCCACCGGACCCTCAAACTTAACTTACTTCGGATAATTAATATCCCATACACAGACATAAATGGAAACCCTCCTCTGGTTATATCACATAATGGACATAGACTTGACCATAAACTCTCCTCCGACATATCATATCATGGACAAAGACATGAACATTAACTCTCGTCCGACATATCATATCATGAACATAGACATGAAAATTAACTCTCCTTGACCTATCACATCATGTAATAGATACAAGAATCAATTCTCCCCTGATATGTATGCCACATCATGTACATAGACACATATATATATCACATCACATTGACTTAGAAATTAACTCTCCCCTGAAGGCCACTCCCCTAGTACCAGGTACAGTGGAACTCAAGATTCAATAAAAACTCGGATTCAACGAAAAGAGATGGAATCTCCATTGTTTTTAATTATTAAAATCAGTAAAACTTAACTCGCATTCCACGAACACATACATGAGCAAGCTCGACCTCAAGGAAGTCCTTGAAGGACGAATAGTCCCAGCTGACGTGGCTTCATTCATTTTCCTCCTGCAATGAACCTTATCTATTCCTGGAAACCATCCATGGCGCCTGCATCGTGAACCATTATTCCATTAGCACATTGTTTATATAGTTGGGAGGCCAGCACACATGTGACTGTGTGCATGAGTCTTGGGGAAGTGGGCACAAGCAGTCAGGGAATGGAACTTTAATAGAGATACAAACACGTCAGTCATATTTTTACCCCGGCTACCGATCAATATTACAAAGATAAGCTAGTTTTGACATAAAGATCAATGTAATGAACTGCGAGCTGCTCTGTGGAATCAAACGTTGTCATATGCTAGGCTCTACACAGCAACACAATTTGTTCAGTAAACATAGCTTCATATCTGACACAGGCAAGGATTTGAACAAATCGGCCCTTTTGCACAGTGTGTGCTTAGTAGAGTTCAGTCTGGAATTTTCCAGCACTTCTTTGGATCGGCATCAAAGAAACAAAAATGCCTCTCATTTCAAACCAAACAAATCTTAACTGAGGAAGTAAAAAAGGGACATAAAAGCAGGCATTTCAGGGTAGCCTACCACTTATTACTTCCCTTTATTACAGGCTCAGTGCCAGTTATTATCTTTTTTTTGTTTAGTATAGGGTTTTACGGCGCTCGCAACTGCATAGGTCATATGAGCGCGCGGGACACACCTAATATTTTTCAGTTGGTAGGAAATTTGGAATTTTGCCCGGGTGGCGGCCGAAGCCTACTCTTGTCGATTTTAGACCACCAAGGGATCTTTAACGTGCGCAACTTGCACACGGGCCCTCCGAGATTTTTCGCCCTTGTCCGAGAAGGCTAGGTGTAGATCTTTCCTACCAGAAGATCAGGGGTGTGGCAGAAAGACAGCAGTTAGGAGGAGCCAAGGAGTAGCAGTAGAAAGGCTGCAGAAAGAGCCAGGAGCCCAGAGGAGGGGGCAAAGGAGGTGAGGGGGTGGGGGCAGAAAGTGGAAATGAAAGCAGACAACAGAACATTGTTAGAGATCAGGAAAGGATGGAAAAGGAGACAATTTTAGAGAAGAAAATTTTTTTGGTCGCTACCCGGAATCGAACCCGGGACCTTTGAATGAGAGGCCAACACCTTAACCTCTAGGCCACGAGAGCCCCCTAGTTATTATCTACAATCTATACAAAAGCCTCATATTTGCTATAAATAACAAACACTTTGATTGAACGAAATTGAAAGTCAGGTCCGATGACTTCATTGAATCCGAGTTCCACTGAAGTGAGAAAAGGCTATTTTTGTGTTCATCGTGCTTCCGCGGATCTAGAGTTGCAATCTCCATTCCATCATCACAAAGTGGAACGAAATAAGTCAACACACTGAAAATCATCTCAATCTAATCACAACTCAGCTCATAGTGACCTACCTTTCCATTTTTTTATTTTTTTTCTAAACCTCACTGCATTATTATCCACCCACCATCCCATCTAGTTCCAACTGAAATGTCTATCTCTTTAGATTCTCCGTATACACAATGGCATGTGTTATCACTGTGTTCAGTACATTCATGGGAAATAAATATATCTGAATGTGATGAAATCATCATTCGTCAACAACTGAGAGGTATATTAATTAAAGGTTACCTCAAAATTGAGGACGTTGTAAAAATCCTAAGGCTTTTTCATTTTTCAAGCAATTTCACTGTTATTTGGTAAGATTAAGATCACCAACTACTACAATACAAAACTTTTGTCTGCAAGAAAACTGCATGTTGCAATCAATTTGTTTTAGTTGCTTATTTTGTGTGAAAAATGCACAAATTTTAGCGGGGGGGAAGCTATTAACAAATTTCCACAAAAAAAACTATGAAGACTATGCTCATGCAGTGTTGACAATATGTTGCAATATGGCTGTGAAAAACATCAAGCAAAATTTGATCCTTTTAATAAAAAAATGTGGAAGCCTTTGTATTTTTAGTAACAAAATCTTACGAAATGAGACAATTTACTTAATCCATAAAAATAGTGTGGAAAAAAAAGCAACCTTCACATAACATTCCCCTTAGTTGCCCTGGAATGATGATTCTATAACCTGGTAGCATAGAGCCCATGCTAAAACCTATTACACATCACCGGCATAAATTCCATCACAAACAAAACACCTTCTTATTGCTTTCCATAACCTGGTAAACAAAAGACATTCATGCCAACAGTCAGAGATGTGCTATCATAGAGCTGCCAGACAGAAAAAACTGTAAGAAGAACAACTTTATGCGATTAAAAAACAGTAAGGTAAAAGAAAAGTATACCCATCTCCCCCATCCCCCCCCCTTTTCTCCCCCCACCCTATATCAAACTGCTTGACCTAAGGAACAACATCTGGGGTCATTATGGAGTTCACAAAGAGGAAGCAGGTACATCTCACAGAAACAGGAAACAGCGCGTTGTGATCTTTGTGTTTCCCAAAGATGTGGGCAGCAAAACTTTATACTTTTGTCACCACCAGCCTATTTCCCCCACCCATCACCTTGGAGTACATGTAATTACAATCTCATCCCCAGCACCCGACACGCAAAAGTTTACTTTCTTGTAACCGACCAAATCTTGTTTTCTCATGTTATGAGTCTTGTTGTACATCAGCTCTGTGAGAACGGGAACACGACGGCCGCAGGCGCTGTCAGCCAACTGGTGGTTGTACTCAAACTGACGTGGGCCCATATCGTGGGCATGACGGTGTGGCAGCCCCTGGGCTCTCCGTTGACGATAGTCTCTCTCTGTGTCCTCGTTCATGGACTCCTCATTCGGCAGGGTTACCACACCTGTTAGCACCGCCCTGTAAGATTATAGCAATGAGTCAATCAAAAGTCTGGGTAAAGAGAAACACATCAAAATAATAACCCCCTTTAAGCCGTGACCTCCTGAAGCTAATATGACCCATCTGCCTGACCTCTGAATGATTTACCTATATTCTATGAAAATGCTTTACCTTTCACCAAACCACACACTCACAACTTTCACATTTACACAGACGTCTTGGCAAGACCTCAGCTAAAGAAAATGTAGCACAGCTGTTCTGATTGGCTGATAAATAAAGACTTTTAATATCCCACTTGGTCTAGTTCACCAGTGGTTAGGGGCTTGGGCACATACTTGTCACTGGTGGCCAGTGAGTATTCTCATCACAGGCCTTGATACCAGTACTGCCAGCAGATTTGTACACATCCTGGGCAGATACTTAGGTATTAAGGACCCCTTTTGACAGGAGATCCCCATACAAGGAACTTAAGAAGAGAGATCTGTATGATAAAATCAGATCAGGTCGGAATATGGTGCTGGCAAGCGCACACAGTATTAAATAGACATCTGCATTGCTTCATCAAATTGACATTTAGGGCCTACAACATTGATCCAGGCACCAACAAAAGATCACATCCTGCAATGTCATGTGGTACACAGAGCCTCCTGACTACTGATTGACTTTTGGATGCAATTTTCATCAAATGCACCTGATAGTGACTTACAAAATCAACACGTTTGATTTTGGGAAGAGAGAATCAAATTGTGACTTTGAACACTATCTTTACATCTAGACAGTAGCAGAATACCACATCCGCAGTGAAATTTACAAGACACGTAACAATGAAAGTGAACAGGTCCACTTTTCCTCCTCACGTCAACACATCGCAACCTCAGTGCTTTGTTGTCATATCTCCATTTTTTTAAACAGTAAAAACAGTCCATAACAAAGAGTGAGCTTAAGAAGAAGTCACATTTTCAATGTTTAAAAAAATGGAGATGGGACAAGAAAGCACTGAGGTCGCGACGTGTGTTTCACCTTTCTGGTGTGTCCACATCTGCTATCTGGCGTTGAATTCACTACCCCCACATTCCTGTGCAAGCGTGCGTCATTTCTGATTATGGCTGTCTTGTTTTGTTTTTCCTCCCACATGAAGCAGAGGTCAGTCACAGAGAAACAAGTCTCTTTAAGGCTCTTCTCATTATCCCACTTTACAAAACTCATCTTTCACACAAATCAAACGGGGTCAAGTGTTTTTAAGATGGAATCTGCATAAACCTACCATCATAGAAAAGGAATCATGACATATTTACTTCAATTTATTCTTCAAAGAACAAACCTCACATTTTCAGTTGATTCTGAAAGAACAATTCCCATACTTTCAAAAAGAGTTTTTCGATCTGCGTAAATGATGATAGTATAGACTTAACATAAGTTAAGGACTACTTGCAAACATTCTGAGTGGTCTTCTTGGGTCGACCTGCATGTCGGCGCTCTTGGACAGATCCAGGGGCTTGATGGTGCTGCCTCAAGCAGACAATGTCAGAGTGTGACACTGCAAGCCCTCTGGCAACTTCTCGGGGTCCAACTTCATCCTGCAGCCACGCCATAGCTCTGGCACGATCAAAGTTTCTCAGCTTTCATCTTGGTGGCATGTTGATGCTATACTGGATTTTGCGCAAACGATGGCATATATTGCCACCAAAGTGAACACACTTCGAGACCGTACGTCCGTTTATGACGTGCATCAGAAATTTTAACTCAGGAATGTCCATGGTGTCGCATACAAGTCGATAAAAAACAGCAAATTTGGCTAAAATTCCCAAAAGATTTCCATGCTGCACGTGGTGATTTTGCTGCTATAGGAAGCTTTGTAGTACGCATTTAACACTTTCAGAGCAAAAAAAATCAGAAATTTTTCCTTGCTGACTTTTTTTCGGATTTTTTCAAAATCAGGGCTGTCTGTCAAGGTTGTCCTTAACTGATGTTGAAGTCTGTATGAACACTATTTATTCTGCTGAAAAACAACACTTTCACTTGGTCAATGTCAAAACAATCTCAGCACAAAATATCTCTATTCTTCTTCTTCCCAAGCACAAGTTGTGCTTCTTGAATGGTTATCTGCAGAATCTCTAACCCACAAACAAACTGGATACACACTGAAAAGAGTGCATAATAATTAAAATTAAATGCATATTCCACAAATTTGACTGTTGCTTGTCTAGACCCAAAGTCACAAGATTAGAACATGTTACTTTAGAGCCCTTTTATTTCAATTTCAACACAACATCTCTTATACAGATTTCTGTTAACTCCTTATCTCAGGCAAGCCAGCAGCTCACAGTCGGAACTACTGTGATGTTGAGCCACCGGCAGTGGCTCGGGCACATTCCTTTACGACAACTTCGACGTCAAATTACTTTTCAGCAATAGCCAAAAACAGTTCTCTTACTCTTTTACTGGGAGCTCATTCATTAGATGAAGAACTATCAAAATACGTTAACCTATTTTGATTTTATGACCAATTTAGTGATGTATTGTCACTTTAAGATTTCATACCAAAAGAGCTCGGGCATAGTGGGTTTAACACCCCCCCCCGGAGATAAAGAGCTATGTCGTGCCCAACAACACAGATATCACATCAATTTGAAAAACCTGAAAAAAAATGTAAAAACCTTTAAAAAATGAGAATCAAACCTGAAGTATTGAGCCTGAACGTCAAACATCGGGAACGGAACAATCCTTTTGCAAACGCCTATGATGCCAAAATTTGGGTATCCAGTGTGTATGAGGTGCTTGTAAAGGGGCATAACCCTGTTGTCGTCCACACGTAGGCCAACTTCTGGAGCCACAAAACTGTAATCATAGTGGTAGCCTGTACAATACATGAGAGCATCTGCACGGACAGAGCTGCCGTCGCTGAAGTGAATAACCTCTGGATCCAGCTTGGCAATCCCTGGCCGCTGATGCAGATTTTCAGGCATATTGGGGAATGGCTGCTTGTTGTGACTGAGATACACCTGAGATGAGGGAATAATGTTAATGAAGTGGCGGCCGCTTAAACCAAACATCTTTAATCTGAAAACATCTATAAAACAAAAGAAATAACACCCCTGATTCTTTTTCTTCTATTTGAGCAACCCCTGTAAATTTCCGTTTATGCAAAGTCCACTGTATATTATATCAGAGCGTCCAGACATCGAACAGTAGAAAAGAATCATCTACAATAGCTATCTACTACTTGCAATTTGCTTTCTTCACATTTTTCCGAACATGTCGTATATGTATATGTATTTACAAGTACAAAGTTCAATTCCCAAGTGAGGAAGATAGTCTATTGTGTATCTCCGAGCACTGGTTGGCCCTGGCAGTCAAAGTTGAGGCAGCCTGCCCCCTAAATGATCTCCATTTTGTTGATGTGGGGTAGAAATAATTGAAATCACAAGAACGCCGTAACAATGTTATAGACTACTGAAGTCTCCCTCCCCACTCTGAGGGGAAATTGAAGTTGCCTGTTTGTGGACTAGGTATATCACCTCTTCTCAAAGCAAGCCATCTTCATTTTGAAAACGAGCAACATATTTTCCTAGAAATAAAATATGAGAGTTTGTCTCACACAAGTTCACAGAGCTGCAAACAACTTTTAGCAATGTTTCTGTCACTCTACAACACAACGCTATCACTGAATTCTATACCCAAGATTCACAATTTGGTTTGTTTGTTTGAGAAAAGAGAAGCACATCGGTACAATTATGGAATCATTTCTAATCCCTCGTTTCACTTTCAGTACAATATTATGTAAATGACTATTTACCTTTTTATGTATTTTTGTTCACCTACTAATACATAAAGTATATCGCACAATATATTTGTATGTACTCTCTCAACATTTTGCGTATGTGTGATGAGAGAAAGGGTGTGTTTGTGTGTGCTGTTCTTTAACGAATTTGTATTTGGATTTATGCAAACAACAAGAGCTGTACACAAGGGAAAAGATGCAATAAAAATGATCTACATTGTTATTATTTCTTCTATTTGTGAACTTTTCGTTCATTTTTATAAGTACAACTCTTAAAACTTGATGTGTTAAAGGTTAGTATAAGCCAAGACTACATTTCTAAGACATAAATAAATACGCATGTTGAGCTTTGAACCAATTTTTTGTCAGTTCCTGGGGGGAGGGGGGGTTTCAAATTTTAGATCTTTCCACCCAAATTTCAGTCTTAGATCAGACACAGACACTTTCAAAATTTTAAGTGAATAGTACTCAGGAGAGTCCCCACAATGAGACGGTAAAAAAAAAGTCAAAATGTTGAGACCCTGACACATTCCCAATTCTTGCAGTTGCAGGTGTCTTAAGAAATTAAACTCTGACTTTTACTAAAGAAAGCAAATACAACCAAACAGGAACTTAGACCCTGGAACCTTGTGACCCGATCACAGACAAAATCTATAAAAAGTCTATGAACTTTGCCCTAAAGAATATGGAAGACTTGCTGTGCAATAGATGTTGGAAATCATATCACTTAAATAGCAATCAATGTTTTTATCCTAAAAATTTATAAATATTTCTAAAGCAATGAGCCTTACATCAGTGTAATATCTATAGCTCAAAATACAGCAAATTCAATTAGACATGTTATACTGTAACTATACAGCAAAAGAGAAGTAATTCCCTCTTTGTACCGTAATTCGTAAACCCCCGTCAATCCTATATCCCTTATCTCCCTTTTCAGTTTCCATCTGCCTGTCTTGCATTTGCCCCACACTAAAAAAAAAAAAAAGGGGTTAAGCCCCGGTTACATGCAACGATATATTGTATCAGATTCGTCGTATGAGAGAACTGTCCGTTTTATCGAACTGTGTTGTTTGTTTACACGTTTCAATCTATCATTAGGTTTTCTTTCGATTGAGGAGATTCCTCGTCATAAAGCCACCATGTCTCTTTGCGATGACAGCAATTTTCCTGCTCTCTACATGAAGGTTTTGAGCTCTAGACCTAATGAATTGAAAGGCGAACACTGTACCTGTAGATCACGAGAGCCCTCCCCCCCCCCTTCCCCTGTACATTTTGATTTAGCAGAACAGAGTCTTTAAAAAAGGGTGGCCACACTAGGCCTAGGCCTAGGCCTACCACCGCATGTTGTGTGTTGAACCGGAAGCTAGATGTGCAACGCACCGAGTGACCTTGATGCACAGCTTCACCATTGATGATCAACTAAATAATAAAATTGCTAAAATATATATAATTAATAACGCACCAAATCAGGTTCACCGCGAGCAACTTTGCTTATTTTGAGACGCTGATTCCGAATATGAAATCAGTTTTTACATATGATAATTATTTTAAACATTTTGAGCCCTGAGTTTAGTTATGCATGGCAGCAAATTTCAAAGTGAATCTACATCACAGCGCGTCTCCCTCAAGTGTGACCGTGATCGCACGGAAAATATCAAGCAGCGCTTGATTTCTCGACCGAGTCTCCAAACCATCGTTCAATCGTCCAAATTTTGCACAATTTTGTGGTTACACGTAACGATTTATCATATGGTCACTATATCGTCCAGTTTTTGTGCAATTTATCGTTACATATAACCGGGCCTTTACTTATGTCATCATGCTTTTTTTTTTCACTCAAACAAACAAAGACTAAGGTACATGGAAAAACAAACACATGCAAACACAAGCCTAAGCACACATACACGCACTTACATGTACACAAACAAATGGACATAAACAAGCACACACACAAGCACACATACAAGCACACACCCAAGACAACACTAACTAACCTCCTTGGCCACAGATGCCAGCTCAAGCGCTATATCCTGCCCTGACGCGTTTGCCCCAAGAATGACCACTGTCCGGTCCTTGTAAACATTGGGCTCCCGATAGTTGTGGCTGTGTACAACCTGGCCCACAAATGTCTCCTTACCAGGAATGTCTGGGATCATCGGTATTGCATAGTGACTGAAAGAAGACACACAAGAACAGGGACCGTCAAAAATTGTTTCTTCCATCGCCCTTCCCTCATCCCCCCTTCTCTCCCTCAACCTCCTTCACCTACTCCTCCAACTTTAGAGAGTTAGAGAGTGAGACGTCTCCTCCTCCCCCTCCTCCCCCTCCTCCTCCCCCT